TGTATACTAATGAATAAAAATAATAATAAAAAAAACAAAAAAATACAAATTGATAATAGTAATAGCACAATAATATTCTCTATTGTATTATTACTTTTACATGTTTATACGTCAAAATATTTCAGAAAAAAATAAAAATAGTAAAAAAATCTTACCTAAACTTTCGACAGTTCACATGATGTTCCTATGTATTTGCTACTCTTGAAGAGCCATGATGTAAATCAATCGCAGATGTCGCCCCCAAACCGGTCATGCTTCCTATTGGTAGAGACACAAAAGCTACATAACCGGTTTTGTTTCAGAGCGATTTCGGTTTAACAGGCATATACATAAAAAAAGATACAGCAATAAAAACGAAAAATAATAAATAAAAATAAACATAAAGTAATTATAATAACAACACAATGATATCCACTGTGTTATTACATTTACATGTTTGCACTCTTTAAAATATTACAGAGGGTACACTTATAAATAAAAATAAGAATACATATAAAATATATAAAAATAAACATAAAATAATAATAAGAATAAAAAAAGAATACAAATATAAAATAATTGTAATAACGCAATGATATCCCTCATTGTGTTATTACATTTACATATTTACACTCGTCAAAATATTACAGAAGTATATACTATTTTTAGTGTATACCAATAAATAAAAATAATAAAAAAAATCATAAAAAAATACAAATCGATAATAGTAATAGCACAATAATATTCTCTATTGTATTATTACTTTTACATGTTTACACGTCAAAATATTTTAGAAAAAAGTAAAAATAGTAAAAAAATCTTACCTAAACTTTCGACGACTCACATGATGTTCCTATGTATTTGCTACTCTTGAAGAGCCATGATGTAAATCAATCGCTGATGACGCCCCCAAACCGGTCATGCTTCCCATTGGTAGAGACACAAAAGCTACATAACCGGTTTTGTTTCAGAGCGATGCCGGTTTAACCGGTCGCAAGATCATCGTGGACACTTATGGTGGTTGGGGGGCACATGGAGGTGGCGCTTTTTCGGGTAAAGACTTTACGAAAGTAGACAGATCGGCGGCGTATGCGGCCCGTTGGGTGGCAAAGTCCCTCGTTAAGGCCGGACTTTGCCGAAGATGTTTGGTCCAGGTGGCGTATGCAATCGGTGTGGCTGAACCTTTGTCAATCACTGTCTTTGATTATGGAACCTCGAAGTTGTCACAGAAGGAATTGCTTGCCGTCGTTAAACGAAACTTTGATCTCCGGCCGGGGAAAATCGTCAAGTGAGTGGTTCCACTCGTGGAAAAAATTTAAGTATACAACTCGGGTTTTTTTTTTTTTCAGGGAGTTGAACCTTCGCCAGCCTATTTACCAGCAAACCAGCACATATGGACACTTTGGGCGTGATGGTTTCAGTTGGGAGAAGCCAAAGGTTCTTCGTCTTGATTGACCTTCTCCTCTCACTTAACTCTCCTTCCTCGACCCTTTCTTCCCGTTTTTCTCTGTCGTAGCTCTCCTTCATTAAATGCCTCCTGGTACGGGTGCTATTGGACGTGGTACCGGCCTGTACAGATCACAGTAGGTACCATTCTGGTACTACTGCAACTTTGTGTAGAGTGAAAGGTTCTGTTCCTGCTAGACTTGTTTTCACTCGACACCTTGTGTTGTGTTTACGAAAAAGAATCTATTTGGAAAAGAGCATTTGCGAAAACACTCCGATCTGTGCAAGTCCGGCCCTGGGTGTGATTCAAATGTTTACAATACATGACTTTGGCATTTAGAAAGCTGCCACCAAAAAATTTCTCTTTTATAGTGTTCTTATTGTTATGACTTATACTGACTCTAGCTGTAGATCTGTAGAAATAGGTTGTATAGATTTTAATGTGACTATTTAAATTATTTATATGACGTGTAACTATAAAGTCGTTCGATGGGGTGTACTTTATTTTTACAAGTTCCATCATTTTAAGTGCTATTCAGGAGCTTTTATGTCATTATTTGAAACAATAAAGTGATTAGGAAAAGTACAGCTTTTACTACTTCTTCCCTAAACGGTGAACCTTTTTTATGTTTGTTAAGTTTTTAGTCACTTAGTATACAAGGGTGTCGAAAAAAAACCTACATATTTACTTTTTTCGAAAAAAATATGCGGTGATATGTTTTAATTATTCACTTAGGTGATTAATAGCCATTATTATACATATGCTGGTTGTATAATATATGTACTATTATATATATATTTTTTTTTCATTATGTATCTGTTTTTTTTAAATCATTTTTGGATAGGGATTAGGGAAAAGACAGGTTTGAAATTTTTTCCCTAAAAAAATCCAAAATCCATAATACACATATATTGAATTAATAATTATTGATAGCAATATTAAATATAATCCCATGATACTACACTACATTAAATACCATCGTGCGAATCCTTTACGACGGGGGCGGTGGTGGCGGCGTCGTCAACAAACTATTAACATCGATTCCTGGTGGTGGCGGCGGTGGACAACTCCCCGGCGGCCACGTAAACGCCGCCGCTTGCCACGGCATACTCCCATTAGTGGCAGTAGCCCCCGGTGGCGGCGGTTGATTATTCGCGCCCATCCATTGCATCATCTGTGGTGGACTAGACGCCCCTGGAGGCGGCGGCGGCGGCATAATCCCTGGCGGCCCCGGCTGCCAAGTCATATTCTGTGCCACAGTCGCCCATGGAGGCGGCGCCATACTATTAAGTATTGCCGTCTGTGTGGGCATTGGGGGCGGCATAAGCGGTCTTGGGGTCATCGGCGAATCAAACAAATTGAAACTTGATTTACGAGTTGTAGTTGTAGAAGTGGTCGTTGTGGTAGTAACAGCGTCCGGGGGCGGCGCCTCACCCAATTCAGCCATCAAAGACATGTACTCCTCGTCGATTTTATTCTTTTCGCCAGGAACAGGGGGGCCCCCAGCCCCAGGACGCTTCTGACGACAGTCGCGAGCGATGTGACCAGCAGCCCCACAACTCGAACATACGATGTTATTCGTAACGTTTGGTTTATCCGGACACTGGAAAACAATTTAGTGATTTTTGGTTTTAACAAAGAGGGGTTGGTAGTACCAGCCATGATTTGTGGTCAGTGGCACCACAATTATTACAACGCATTCCGTCATTTTCACGCAATGTGCCGTTCAGTTGTGCCAACTCACGCAGTTGCATGCGACGCAGGTCGTTTTGGTTCTCGGGGACTTCGACCCCCTGTCTTATAACCTCCTTGATCTGAAAAAAAATCACAATTAATAGTTTTCGACATAGAAATAAACACAGGGTAACAAATGTCAAATACTTCATTTTTGGCAACACAGCAATAAACAAAGTTGGTTGCTATGGAAACAGTTGCGTTGTTATGGTAACACATATCAATGAATTCATTTTCGGTTGCCATAGAAATAAACTGAGTTCGTTGCTATGGAAACAGTTGCGTTGTTATGGTAACGAATGTCAATCGCCATAGAAATAAACAGAGTTCGTTGCTATGGAAACAGTTGTTATGGTAACATCGGTCGCCATAGAAATAAACTGAGTTCGTTGCTATGGAAACAGTTGCGTTGTTATGGTAACGAAAGTCAAATACTTCAATACCGGTCGCCATAGAAACAAACAGAGTCCGTTGCTATGGTAACGTCGGTTGCCATAGAAATAAAGTGAGCTCGTTGCTATGAAAACAGTTGCGTTGTTATGGTAACGAATGTCAAATACTTCAATACCGGTCGCCATAGAAATAAACAGAGTTCGTTGCTATGGTAACATCGGTTGCCATAGAAATAAACTGAGTTCGTTGCTATGGGAACAGTTGCGTTGTTATGGTAACAAATGTCAAACACTCACCCTTTCCACGGCCTTCTTGACGCATTCGGGGTTCGTGGCTGTGATATAAGCATGCAAGGGTTCGTCTTCGCCGGGAAGTGGTTGACCGTCTTTTCGGCCAACTTTGCCCTCCTTGACACTCCCCTTGCCCCTGATGATGATTTTAGCACCAGTTTCTTTCTCCATTGCTGTAAAAAATTGATGAAAAAGTGCCCAAAAAAAAAATGATAAAAAACTGACTTTTCAACGTATTTCCTCTTGGACCAATCAATAAACCTACAAAATTAATCTCAGGATGTTCCTCTTGCGGTATCATAACTTTATCACTTACACGAACCACAGGGGGTCTACAACTGTAATTTCAAATTAAAAAAAAATGTTTTTTTAACTAAATAAATATCTTACTTGTAATCCATTGGAGGTTTGAAGTCGGGATTGATTTGTTGCATTTTCAAAATAAGTGAATGTCGTTCTTCTTCCAATTTCTTTCTAGTTCTAAATTCGCGTGTGTTTAGACGTTTACCATCGCTACTGTAGATCGGTTCAGGTGATGGCGATCTGCACATATAGAAGAAAATATAAAATAATGAGGGAAGCGCTCGGCTCCGCCTCACCGCTTGAAATTCAACACAATTAAGTAAAATTTCAAACGATGTGCTGAGCGACGTCTCCTAAACTATTCAAATTCTGTAATTAGATTTGAAGTGAATTTTCCTATCTGAATGAAGAAAGAAAACTGTTTTATCGACTCAAACACGAAAACAGGTTCCTTTATTTTTGTGATCAAAATTTGCAATAAATTCGCATCCTAAAGAAAAAATTAGATTAATTAATTGCTGTAATAGTAAAAATTAATTATCGCCTTCTTGTTGGCTGAAAGTAAATTAGATTATCGTGTGACGTTGTAACAACAAATCCTGTAACAAATTTAAATTTGGTACACCATTCATTGGGTGATACTCCTGTTAACTATTAAATTAAATTAAATTACCACTTTTTCTATATCAAAGCGACCTTGATTTTGAAATTAAGTTGGCAACACCTCGAAAATTAACATGTTACCAAATTATTTCAGTCATGGGACTAGGAATCAGTGTTGCCAGATTTGGTGAAATGTCATCAGATCTGGTGATTTTCATATTGGTCTGGTAAAAACCTTTGTAAAAAAGAAAGTAAAATCGTGCATTTTCCACGTTTTCAACCAGAAACTTTTTTTTTTTCAAAAAGTCGAAACACCACCAAATTAGTTAAAAATAGTTGTTTTTTTACAAGAGTTTACCAAATAGGATCACAAATGACAATTTATTTTTGTCTTTTTCGAATACTTTTTCAGTTAGAAACACAATTATTTTGTTAAAAACAATCCAAGAATTCAACAAATTCGACCAAAAACGGCGTTATTTTCAAGCATTTACGCACGTTTTTTAGATAAAAACAAAGAAAATTCTAAAAATTCCTTTGAAGTAGATAAAAAAAATTACAAAATTAAATCAAAATTGATATTATATTAGCGTGTTCTGCTCGACTTAGTTCGTTTTTAAACCAGAGACTCATTTATTTTGCAAAAACTTGTCCAAACACGCTTAAAAATCACAAAAACAATTGATGTTGATGTTATTTTGTTTGTTCCACTCGATTTTAAGCAATATTAGACAAAAATAAGCCGAGAAAACACAAAATTTGACAGAAAATGCACGTTTTTGTACTAAAATCTCAGTTTTTCGCTATATTTCGCTAAAACTCACTTAATAATCAAGAAATTAAGTCTAAAATCACATTATTTTTGTATTTTTCGAGCGTTTTAGCACGTTTTTCAGCTAGAAACACAATTATTTCGCAAAATTTCGTTGATAACAAGCCGAAAAATCGCAGAATTAGGTCGAAAAGCTTGTCATTTGTGCTTTTTTTCAAAAGTTTAAGCATATTTTTAAGCTGAAAACTGTATTTTTTCGCGAGATCTGGTGAAAATTTGGCAAATTTTTTCAGCTAGAAACACAATTATTTCGGAAAATTTCGTAAAAAAACAATCCAAAAATGCAACAAATTCGACCAAAAACGGCGTTTTTTATGCCCTTTTCAAGTGTTTAAGCACGTTTTTTTTAGATAATTACATAAAAAAAAAATCCAAAAATTTCGTTGAAGCAGACAGAAAAATTATAAAATTAAATCAAAATTGATATTTTTAGCTTGTTTCACTCGACATTGTTTTTGAATAAGAGGCTCATTTATTTTGCAAAAACTTGTCTAAACACGCTTAAAAATTACAAAAATAATTGATATTGATGTTATTTTGTTTGTTTCACTCGATTTAACTAGTTTTTAAGCAAAATTAGAGAAAAGTAAGCCGAGAAAACACAAAATTTGACCGAAAATGCACGTTTTTGTACTAAAATCTCAGGTTTTTCGCTAGATTTCGTAAAAACACACTTAATAATCAAGAAATTAAGTGTAAAATCACATTATTTTTGTATTTTTCGAACGCCTTAGCACGTTTTTCAGCAAGAAACGCAATTATTTCGCAAAATTTCGTTGAAAACAAGCCGAAAAATCACAGAATTAGGCCGAAAAGTTTATCATTTGTGCTTTTTTTCAAGAGTTTAAGCAGATTTTTAAGCTGAAAACTGCGTTTTTTCGCGAGATCTGGTGAAAATTTGGCAAATTTTTTCAGCTAGAAACAATTATTACGCAAAATTTCGTAAAAAAAAAACAATCCAAAAATTCAACCAAAAACAGCGTTATTTATGCCCTTTTCAAGTGTTTAAGCACGTTTTTTTATATAAATACATAAAAAAAAATCTAAAAATTTCGTTGAAGCAGACAAAAAAATTATAAAATTAAATCAAAATTGCTATTATTTTTACCTTGTTTCGCGCGATATCGTTTTTGAACAAGAGGCTCATTTATTTTGCATAATCTTGTCCAAATACGCTTAAAAATCACAAAAATATTTGATATTGTTATTATTTTGTTTGTTTCACTCGATTTAACTGGTTTTTAAGCAAAATTAGACAATAGTAAGACGAGAAAACACAAAATTTGTCCGAAAATGCACGTTTTTGTACTGAAATCTCAGGTTTTTCGCTAGATTTCGCAAAAACACACTTAATAATCAAGAAATTAAGTCTAAAATCACATTATTTTTGTATTTTTCGAGCGTCTTGGCACGTTTTTCATCTAGAAATGCAATTATTTCGCAAACTTTCGTTGAAAACAAGCCGAAAAATCACAGAATTAGGCCGAAAAGCTTATCATTTTTGCTTTTTTTTCAAGAGTTCAAGCATATTTGTAAGCTGAAAACTGCGTTTTTTCGCAAGATCTGGTGAAAATTTGGCAATTTTTTCACTAGAAACGCAATTATTTCGCAAAATTTTGTGAAAACAAGCCGAAATGCGTCATTTTTTTTTTATTGAAAACTGAGTTTTTGCAGTAAATTTTGTATTTTTGATCTGGCAACACTGCGCGGAATGTTGATAACGTCGCAAGGCAAAGGGTGCTTCGTTTCCAGTTTGTTGCCAACCTGGCGAAGCAAAACACCCAATGCCCGGCCATCTTGTCAAAATTTGGTGCAAATTTCTTTGTGATTAATAAAAAAAATGAAAAAAACATTAATTGGTCGTTGTCAAACCGCCGTCGATGGTCTGATGGTCGGAAAATAATGTTGGTAACACTTCACCTGTCCTCTGGATTTGGTGGTATCCCCAGGTCTCCGGATCGCAGTTTTCTACTGACCTCCTCAATCTGGAGTTGAACTGTAATGAAACGGGTTAGAGGAGGGCAAAAGCCCAAGAGTTAGCATTTTGTTCAACAAAAGAGAAATACGATCTAAAAAATTGTCATTATGGCTCCACCTTACAAACCTAGTAAAAATCTAACCACAAAAACAACTTACGCAAATAGGCCTGCTCCTGGTTCTTGTCCAGTCCCGAGGGCAGAATCGTGGGCATCCCCGGAATGAAAATCTTGTCGTGCTCGCCCCCCGCCCACCGGGACCGCTTTTTGCGCTTCCTGGTCGTGCCGTCCTCCTCTTGGCTCCCTGAAACCCCAGTCAGACTCCGACAGCCCCCTTGAGCACTACTCACCGTTCGACTGGTTCGAGTTGGTGTCGGGCTCCGGCTTGGGGGCCACCAATGCGGCGAAGTTCCGGGTGGCTGCAATGGTGGCTAAAGTGTCGGCGATGAGCTTCTCGCCGTCGGGCTCCGGGGTCTTCTCCCGGCGCTTCTCGCGACTGCGGTCCCGCTCTCTGCGGTCCCTGTCCCTGTCTCTGTGCCTGTCTCGACTGCTCTTGCGCCTGTCTCGACGGTCGCGGTCTCGGTCCCTGTCTCTTCGGTCGCGGTCACGCTCACGACTGCGGTCGCGGTGTCTCGAGGACCCCATTTTGAGACAACACGAGAAAAATCACAAACAAACTGTGTGTTTGCAACGAAACTCGACAAGATGGCGGAAAATGGCTGCCACGAGGCGTCAGGGAGGGGGCAAAAGTGGGGAGAAAAACACCAAAAAAAATCAAACTCAACTAAACACACACCGCTTCCACCCCAAAACCAAGCCCCAACAATTAACAATCGTCCATAAACACCACAAGAATTTTACACGACTCAATTCGCCCCCTTTAATTCAGTTGGCAATGCTAATTCCCCCAATTTTTTGACATTTGTTTTTTTATTTTTCCCCGAATTAACACATATTTCGTTAAATCATTGATTGTGTGACTTGTAATTACTGTTTTTTGTGTTAATTGTGCATTATTTGGTTGTTTTGTTGGTAAAAATGTCAATTGGCACCCCTGTCAAGGTGGTGTTTTCGTTTTTGCCAGGTTGCCGCTCTGCGGGAGTGGCATTCCTTGCGTCAACGGTGCAGTGTCGCGATCGTGTCGATGTTTTGCTAGCCCCCTTGTAGTGTTCATGATGTGCGTGTTTGGTGCTTAGCGAAAATGTTTCGTTGTATACCGATTTTCAAGGGTTGCAACCGGCAAGTGGAGTTTGTTGATAAGAGACACTGCTCCTTGCCCAATGTCCCCGAAGACATCCTCCGATACTCCCGCAGTCTCGAGGAGCTCCTCCTCGACGCCAACCACATCCGCGATCTTCCCAAGGTGAGTCCGCCGCGCGTTGCGCCCCCAATTTCAGCCCCCTTGTCTCTAGAACTTCTTCCGGTTGCACCGATTGAGGAAACTGGGGCTCAGCGACAATGAGATCCATCGCCTCCCGTCGGACATCCAGAATTTCGAGAATTTGGTCGAGTTGGATGTGTCGCGAAATGGTGGGGTTAGGGGAGCCCCCCGAGGGTGGTTTTTTTAACTGGGGTTGGTTGTAGATATTCCCGATATACCGGAGAGTATTGGGGCGCTCCGGTCGCTGCAAGTGGCCGATTTTAGCTCAAATCCCATACCGAGACTGCCTCCGGCGTTCAGTCAACTCAAGTCTTTGACGGTTTTGGGGCTAAATGACATGTCTTTGTCGTCGTTGCCCCCTGATTTTGGTATGCTCACCGCATTGACCTCTTTAGAATTAAGAGAAAATTTGCTCAAAGAGCTACCACCGAGTCTGGCACAACTTACAAGATTGGAACGGTTAGATTTAGGGGATAATGAAATTGAAGAGTTGGTAAGACTGACGAGCTAGATGGCGAGTGGGATGCATGCGGTTGCACAATTCGAAATATCCCTAGACAAAAAACTTCTATAAATTTAAAAAAATACAAAGAAACAGCTCAAATCAAGCTTTTATTCTCAAAAAAATTTAAAAGTATATATAGATTGTGAGTGGAGAAAACAGTTTAGATAAAGGAAAAAAAATAATAAATAAAAAAAATATTTCAGAATTTTTACATAAAAAAAATTCAGTGACAGAATAGTCAAAAATCATAAAAATCGTGACACAAATCTCAAAAGAAAGTTTTATAAAATATACAGATTGACCCAGATGAGACTACTTTAAGTAGTATTCGAAAAGAGTATATTTTTTATGCTTTTATTTTTGCTTTACGTCTTGTACTTATATCTATTTGAATAAAGGCGGCGGATTGTTATTATTCTTTGTTTCTTTTATTTTTAAAATTAAAAAAAAATATACCTACGCAACAGATTCAAAAAAAAAGTCATACAGAGTGACTCGTCTAAAACTTTTTCGGTGATAATTCGACCCAGAAACGTGAAATAACCCTTTAAGCTCAAAAAACTGGAAAAATACAGAGTGGCGCATTTGAGAAATATGCTCATACAGAGTGATCCAGGTAAGACGTTTTCGTTCGGAATTGTTGTCGTTTTACGAAAATTAAAATAAATCTATAGGGTGGATCATATCTGGTTTCAATAACTTGATTCATAAAAATTAATGTCAAGGATGTCCAAAATTATGACAGAATCACCCTGTAAACACACAAGATAGTGATGTAATTATTCTTATCATCAGTACGACATTGATTACAAAAAATTGACAAAAAAATAAAATCAGATTTCTATACAGAGTGATTCAAATAAAATCTCGTAGCTGTTTTGAATGTATTTGAGAACTTTGAAAAACTGCTAAAATTACTAGAATTAATGTTTTCAACAGCTTTTACTATTTATTTTTTACGAAAATAATTATTTTTGTTTATACAGAGTCACTCAGGTGTGACTGTTTCGATGTTTATTTTTTTAATATGAGCAAATGCACCGCTAGACTAGTTACTTTTTTTATTTACTTTCTATTTACGAACAAAAGTTAAAATAAAAATAAAAAGTGTCATACAGAGTGTCTCCGCAAAGATTACCAAGTTTAAAAATAAAAAAAATATAAAAATATGTCAAAATAAGCTTCTATTGAAATAATCTCTCTTATACAATCAACGCCAACGTTGATTTAAAAAAAAAAAAACTTCTATACAGAGTGACCCTGATAAAATTTCCTAGTTAGGATTTTGATTTGTCTTAGATTTCTAAAAAACTATTAAAGGTGAATTAATCTTTCTAACAGCTTCCATTTTTTATATATATATATTTTTTTGGTCGATACAGAATGACTCGTGTAAGACTGTTTCGATGTTTACTTCATAAATATGTACAGAAATTGTTAGAGTAGCTACTTTCTGACAGCTTCTATTTACGTACAAAAGTTAACAAAAATAAGTAAACGTTATACAGAGTGTCTCATCAAAAACCACCAAATATATAATTTTTTATTTGACTTATAAATTCAATGAAAGTATTTTGAGTCAAAATGGGATTTCAAAAGGTTAAAAAAAATTGAAAAAAAAAATACAGAATATCCCGTCTAAAACGACTCTGCTCTAATACAACTTTCAAGTTTATTGTTTTTGCATTATTTTGATAATTTAATTTTTTTAATATAGTAGTTACTCATTTTTAATAGCATTTATTTACGTACAAAAGTTAAAAAAATTAGAACTGCATACAGAGTGTCTCAGTAAAGATCACTAAGTTTATAATTCTTTATTTGACGTTCAATAAAAGTATGTATTTTGATTTAAAATGCCTCAAAATCTGCTTTCAAAAGTTAAAAAAGATTTTTTTATAATACAGAGTGTCCCGGCTAGGACGTCTCATGTTCTAATAAAATCTTCGTTGTTTATTTCAATAAAAAGAATTGTTAAAATGTTTTAATTTTTGCAATACATAGATATTTTTTCTAATAGCTCTTTTATTTACGTACAAAGGTTAAAAAAAATAAAAAACCTCATACAGAGTGTCTCAGTAAACACTACCAACTGTATAATTTTTTATTTAACGTTTAAAGTCAATGTATGTCTCTTGTGATTAGAAACACGTCAAAATGAGCTTCCAAAAAGTAAAGAAAAATAAATACAGGGTGTCCCGCCTAAGACGACTCTGCTCTAATACAACTTTCAAGTTTATTATTTTTTCCTTATTTTGATAAAAAATATGATAAAATGTTTTAATTTATATTACAGTAGTTACTCATTTCTAATATCATTCATTTAGGTAACTGCATACAGAGTGTCTCAGTAAAATCACTAACTTTACAATTTTTTTATTTGACCTTGAATAAAACTATAAATTTTGATTAAAAATGCATTAAAATGACCTTCCAAAAATTTTAAACAGATTTTTTTATAATACAGTGTCCCGGCTAGGACGTTTTATGTTCTAATAAAATCTACGTTGTTTATTTTGATAAAAAAATTGTAAAAATGCTTTAATTTTTTCAATACAGAGATGTTATTTCTGCTAGCTTTCATGTACGTTCAAAGGTTAAGAAAAATAAAAAACCTCATACAGAGTGTCTCGGTAAAGACCACCAACTTTATAATTTTTTATGTGTGTCGCTTGTGATTAAAAACACGTCAAAATGAGCTTCCAAAAAGTAAAAAATACATATACAGAGTGACCCACTTAAGTTTATAATTTTTTCTTTATTTTGATAAAAAAATGTGTTAAAACGTAATGGCTTCCAAAAAGTTAAAAAAGATTTTTTATAATACAGGCAGTCCCGGCAAGGACAACTCGTGTACTAATAATACTCTTCTAGTTGTTTATTTTGATAAAAAAAATTCTAAAAATGCGTCAGTTTTTATATTATTCCTGATGTTTTCAATTACGTACAAAGGTTAAAAAAAATAAAAAAAACTCATACAGAGTGTCTCAGTAAAGACCACCAACTTTTTTTTTATTTAACGTTTAAGTTTAATCTATGTCTCTTTTAACTATTAATGTAAAAATGCTTCAATTTTTTTAATACAGCAGGGATTTTGCTAGCGCATGCATCTCACTCGCTCTTGTTACACTTTATGACAATTGTCCTTTTCTAGCCGCCTCATATCGGTCAATTACCGGCGTTACAAGAACTCTGGCTCGACCACAACCAATTACAAAGCCTTCCTCCCGAAATCGGGAATTTATCGAATTTGACATGTCTCGATTTATCCGAAAACCGTCTCGAGAGTATTCCCGACGAAATCGCCGGTTTACAAAGTTTGACAGATCTACATTTAAGTCAAAATGTCCTCGAAACACTCCCTGACGGCATCGGAAAACTCGAAAAACTAACAATTTTAAAAGTGGACCAAAACCGTTTAATTTCCCTAAATTCCCATATAGGTTTTTGTTATAATTTACAAGAATTAATCCTAACCGAAAATTTTTTAACCGAATTACCGAAAGAAGTCGGTAAATTAATCAAATTGACGAATTTAAACGTTGACAGAAATAGTTTAACTACAATCCCTGATGAATTAGGGAATTTGCACGAATTGGGAGTTTTAAGTTTGCGCGATAATCGATTAACTTTAATCCCTGATACTTTAGGGAATTGTAAGAGATTACATGTTTTGGATGTGTCAGGGAATAGATTGCCTCATCTTCCATACAGTTTATTACAATTGGATTTGAAAGCGGTTTGGTTGAGCGAAAATCAAGCACAACCATTGCTCACCTTTCAAACTGACACGGATGAGACGGGCAAAGCCGTCTTGACGTGTTTTTTGCTACCCCAACAGGAGTACCAACCGACGATAGGTAAGTAAGGGGTTTTTTCTCCCGGATTTTTTCCCAGGAAAGAAGTTTGTGAAAGTGTTCATGTTGCTAATTAATGGTTTAGAAAGGATTTGTGACAAGAAATTGTAAAAATCTGAGCTAATTGGCATAGTATGGATAATGTTTTTTTAGTGAAATCGTATCAAAAGGCAAAAAAACTGCTGGGTTTTTGACCGGATTGCCACAAATGTTTATCTAGTGTGCGATTTTTGATGTTTTGTAAAATATAAAGTGTGATATTGGGTGATATATTGATGATATTAAGTGATATTGTTACTTGAGAACAAAATTTTGCATCAAGTTTGCTTACTATAGGTGATATTTGAAGTATTATTGTGGGGGGCAAAGTATTAAGTATTTCGATGATATGAGTGATATTGTCATTTTAGAGCGGAAACTATTCATTTTTTTTTAATCAAGTGTGCTCGCTAAAGGTGATATTTGATCTATTATAGCGAAATATCAAAAATATCATTGCTGATATTTTATTTGAAGGAATTTTTGCGATTTTTTGTGTTTAAAAATAACTGATATTCCAGAATATTGCCACAAATGTTTAAAGACGAGCGGAACCTATATACAGGGTGATTTTTTAAATTTTAATATAAAACTAAACAAATAATAAGTGTATATGGGAAAAAACAAAATGAAATGAGACTGGGAATAATTCGTAATTACAGGAATGTCAAAAAGAGGAATATTAAAAGCAGTAAAAAAATTAAGAAAAACTAAAACAAAAAAAGTACAATGGTAAAATAAATTATAAAGTATTGTCTATTAAGAAAAATAAAACAAAGGATTTTGAAACTTAATAGAAAAACATGAATTTTACTAGTGGAAGTTAAATCTAAAATTAGAAAGTCCAATTTTGAGAAAAAAATTGAGATTAGTTACAAGAAATTAAAAGTGAATCA